CAGTCACCGGATGGGAATGTCCCCCGCCCCACGCCGCAGAGGAGCGGTACCTGGCTGCCTGCAGCGGCTTGTCCAGCGCCGGTGCTCGCGGAGGCGGCGGAGGAGCGGCGGCCGCGGCGCTGCGAGGCTCCGTCTGCCGCGCTGCCCCGGGAGCGAGCAGCGGCGCAGGCACCCGGCGCTCGGCAGCCAACCACACTGCGGCAGGGGGAGGGGAGGGATGCGGACGGGCTCCGGGAACAGGACGGTCGGACGCTCTCCTGGGAGCGCAGAAAGCGCCACGCACGCCAAGCTCACAGCTCCCTCCTCAGGGATCCACCGGAGCGCCCAGCAGCAGGGCCGAGCCCCCGCGGCGCTGCCCGGGCAGCTCTGGCCACCACCGGGCTCCTGTTCAGCCCGGCAAAGCCCTGTTCCATCCCACCCTCCATCCTGAGGCGGAAGGTTTCACATCCTGTTCGGTACCACCCTCGCCTGCGTCCCCACTGCTGACCCCATTCCAGCCCAAAGCCAAGCTGGTGTAGCTGCAGAGAGCCCTCCAGCTGCGTGGCTGTGCCCACAGCAATGGCCACATTCAGGAGATCTGGGAAGGCTGGAGCCCTGTGGTGTCCACACTGCAGTGTGGGGCTGGACTGGGTACTGCTGGGAAGCACTTGTTCAGTCTCTGGCGGCTCTTCTCAGAGGGAGGACAATAACACAGGATCCAGCTTGGATTGTTGGTACTGCCATCCCATGCATGGTAACACACAGCTGTCATGGTGCTCCCTACACCTGCCTGAACCAGTACTGCACTGGTGTTCCTGTCCCTCCCCACAGATTTCCCCAGAAGGGCAAGGGCTTCAGGTGTCCCAGGAGGAACACAGCCCAGCCCAGCCATGCTGACATGCAGGTTCTCTTACCTCATCTCACAACACATATTTCTTTCCTAAAGCACCTTGCTGTTCTTCATTCCCTAGTTCTGGAGGGCAAATCTGGCTGGCTGTGCCATACAGCTATGGCACGCTTACATGTCACATAAGTTACACAGCAGAAGTGCAAACATATATTATTTGTGTTACAGTGAAAGCCATTCCGGGCAATGAAGACACAGACTAATTATAGAGCAGTGAATCCCGCAGTCTGTGCCCACAGCACGCTGGAAACAGCCATGGCCGGGTCTTAGGGCTGACCCACAGCTGCCATGCCCACACTCCGCTCTTCCCTCGGGGGCTCCCGGCCTCCGCCGGCCGTCCCTGCGTGGCAGTCGGCCCTGCCCGCGGGGAGGCCAGGCGCACCGAGCCTGCGTACCGGGAGCTGCCCGAGCAGAGCGGGCACCGGCAGGGCTCCGGAGCCAGCGGCTCCCCCGGTGCTGAAGGGCTTGATCCCGCAGGGCGCGCCTCGCCGGCTCCAAAGACCGCAGAGCCGGCAGCGCCCTCAGCGCCGACCCGCAGCGTTACGGCGGGCACGGCCCCAATGCTGCCCTCGCCCCCGCTCGTTCCGCTGCCCCAACGGCCAGGGTGCGCTAGGACGGTCCCCGAGCCACGCCAGCCCCAGCCCCAGCCCCAGCCCCACTACAGAGGCCTCCCCAGCTCCCCGCGAGGGTCCCACCGCCCCCCGCGGCTGGCGGGGGAGCGTCGCCCCGCGAAGGCCGCCCCCGCTCCGGCCTGCGCCGCGGCGCTCCGTGTGTCCTCCCCACGCCAGGGCCGCCGAGGGGAGCCACCGAGCCCTCACAACCCCGCCAGTCCAACCTGCTGGGCGCAAGACGTCGATGGCGGTCCCGGTCGCTGTCCCGGTCCCGGCGGGGGCGGGGCGAGACCCGCTCCGGCACCACCCGCCCTCTCAGCGGCGCAGCCCCTTTAAATCCAAGATGGCCGCCGCCTCAGCGCCGCCGGCGGCAGCGCGCCACCTGCCGGCAGCCCCGGCTCGGGCCC